TCTCTCTCTTTCTCTTTCTGATCTAACACGCAGCTCGATTCGTATTCGTGGATCGAATTTCCGAGGTGGCCGGCACCGTGAGTAGATCCAGACACGACTACTCGTGGGAACTCGTCGCGCGAATCCACGTAGTTTACTACTGGTCTGATCTTCGAGTAGCCGCGGTGGTGCTGGCGGTCAGTGAAGCTGGCTTCGGTGAATCCGGCGACTCGTCGTGACGTTTCCAGTGCACGATTTTTCTGGGAGAAACTCGAGGGAACGACGGAAGGACTCGAGGCAGCAGAGAGACACTCGAACAAAGTGCGAGACGTTGACGAAAGGAGTATGAAAAAGAGAATCGCAACCAGTCGCTGGATGTTGTTCGTGACTCGTTTCGTATGAGGTACCGACGGGAGAGTTTCAGTGCACGAGTGCCTTTCCAGTTCAGTAAGGGATTTACCAGAGGCGAGGAAGACTCCGTTGTGTCCTTGAAATTCAATCCCCACGCGAGAAGAATGAAAGAGAGCGGTTCTACGAATTTCCATGCGCATCGCTAAGGCCCAGCCAGAGTTTTATTTCGGTGGCGAGGAACAATGAGCAAGGCCCATCACGTGCTATCTGGAACTTGAATAGAATTTCTCAACGGAGATAAGGTTCTAATTGTCTTCGAAGAGAAGAACGAGTTTGGTTCAGTGAACGAACGAGTCTACCGGTTGGTACACTCGAGGAGCGATGAACGCAGGAAACCGTACCTGATCACAACGAAACCACCATTCAACGAAGAGACTAGACGAAAGTGTGAGGTTAAACGCATAGTTTCTAGACAGTAGATGTGTTTTAGTGTGAAAAGAAACACGGGGTAATAAAACGATTGCGACGAAAAGAGGAGCCGATTTGTTTTGCCGAGTCGTCGTTCAGGTTGCCGTCGCTTGCTGAAAGCTGTCCGGAGTTTCTTCGCTCGACGGTTCGCCGGCTTCTACCATTACAACGAAGATAAGTCAAAAACACGTTACGCTAAGCACCCTAATAGTTTCCCGCAATCGACAAACACTTATTTTCGACGCATTTTCAATAATGGAGATCTATGAAAATACTTAGGGCCGCCAACGGGTCCATCAGTCGGTTTCTTCATTCAGTCGCGTACGTGAACGAGTACGTTTTATATCTTACGAAATCCACTGGACTGCTCAATTAGCAATTGCTTCACAGCGAGCCTATAGTATTAATCGACTCCTAGCGTTCTTTGAGTTGCTACAGCTATTGAAAACGATGCGGCCGCTTGCTGGAAACCGTCGGATCTCGAGCAAGCGTTATGCCAAGGCCTAGCAACGATAATATCTTCGTTCTTTTCTATTCGTTCTTTTGACTGTAAAAAAAAAAAAAAAAAAAAAAAAAAAGAAAGAAAGAAAAATCATTTTACGATTTTTAAAATCACCTGCAAGCATCGAGTACAGTCAGAACAAAGCCCAACGAACCTTCCCGTTTCCGAGAGTACTCGACAGCAAAATCGCTTCTAAACAAAGTTCCTAGGAATCAAGACGTTAGTAGAGACGAAAGAGCAACGACAAACACTATTCAAACTCGTAGCGTCGTATAGTCGAGTAGAGCAGGTCCAGGCGAAACGAGCAACGATCTTCTTCAAACTTATTCTTTCAACGAGCCTTTCACCACCTGAAGATGCGCTCTCCTACTGACTGACGGGTGAAAACGCGCGTACGATCGGAGAACATTGTCGAAGCATTAACGATAAGTAACGACAGAAGAATGTCGTTGTTGTTTTGAACGGTCAGTAGAATCGAGAGAAACGCAAAAATGCCACAGCGATCGCCGTTCGCGATCCAGGAGCTGCTGGGGCTGAATGGTGCCGGAAACGGAAGCGGTACCGATCGCGGCTCACCACAAGGATCACCGCCGGCCGGCGTCTCCGCCGTTTCTTACGCGCCCACCGCGCCTCATCACAAGTTATGGGACTACATGCCTAGCCTGACGAATCATCTGGGCAATCTGGGGAATCTTGGGAATCTGGGCAACCTCACGGCCTCGCGGATGGCCTATCTGAATGCGCAGGCGGCCGTCGCGGCTGCCTTCCTGCCGCCGCCCCACCCCCACCCTGCACACCATGTACCGCATCATCAGGTACATCAACCGGGACAACTTCCGGCCTCACCGGCCGGTGTCAACGTGCATCCGGGTGCACACGCGCAGCACGTACTTCCGGGTACCGCAGTCACCGCGAACCATCATCAGCACAGTCCGACTCAGCACACGCCACCCCATGGTGAGTTGATCCTTCTTATCATTCCTTTTATTTCAGACTTCAGTCTAGAAGACAACTTATTCTCGATTTTAATTCGAGAACTCACTCAGCGAAAAGAGCTAATTAGATTTCGATCCTAGTCGAGTCAATGACGTCTGGTGCAGCTTGTACATTCGGTAGCTGCGAATTTAACACGAACGAATTATATTTCTGAATTACGCAATGTTAGTTAAACATTGACATCCGATCAGATTCTCGTTGGATACAGATGTCGTTAGATTTCTCTTAAAACGGTTGAAATTGCCGCTGGAATAATTTAGAGGCACGATTATCCCAATTAATAAATTTATTCGTTATTCAAAAGTTTCATTTACATTAAAATTCCACTGCCAGTATCGAACATGCTGCATCTCATTATTGACTTTCTTTTCGAAGAGTACTGTGTAATTATACGGTTGTACATTTGATTTTCAATTTGATTCAAATGTTGTAGAAATCAATTCTTTCTTTCGCAAAAATATTGGACCTCTTTAGTTTCTTGCGAGATATTCCACTACGATGATGTTTTCGTTTATACTTGTGCATCCGTGAAAGCACATCCGTTAGTATGGGTTGCAGGCCGTTTTACTGCGGCAGGATAAAATCGACTCTTATCTTTTGTCTGTATCACTTATAATATGGTATTAGTGATTATACGCTGTACAAAGGAAACATGCCCTATCAGCAATGATTCTACTTCCTCCGTTATTAATTTTTAATTGCTATCCGAATCTGTTGCTATATTAAAATATATATCATTATTATTACATACAATTATGTTTATTTCCCCACAAATTACGATCGTTAACTTACTTTTCGAATCGACTGTAAAATATCTTTATATCTATTATAAAAAAAAAAGAAGATAAGAATTAATTATAACATGCCCAAACGTATACATAAAATCTTCTACACCGAAGAGATTTCTTATCAATCTGAAGAGATCTGTCTCAATTTAAATATTTATGATTGTTGAAGCTCGGACAGCTCGAAGAATCGGAAAAACCGTCGAAGCAATCTCCATCAGATCGCGAGGTAGTTCTAACAATTACAATCAGAATACACAAAATTAAAACGAAATTAGACTTCTTATTAGGATGGAGAATTGTTTTGGTAAATTCGACGTTAGAAATTATATACGCGTTAAACATCAACATATGGCATACATCAGTCCGCGCAGAACTACAGTCCACTCATTAATTAGGGGAATCGTCCCATTTCAATCAGACATGCACAACATTCGCGGGCAGACAACTCCGTTGAGTCGTGTAACAGCTCGCTTTTTTTTGCTGATAAGAAATCTTAAGAGATCATTCTTAAAGATATTTAAGTGATGTTAGTTCATCGAAAAGTCAGGGCAATCGAGCGGCTTATGCTTTAAATTAATTCTATATAATTCTGATATAATTCGCCAATCAACGCATATGAAACAGGCCCGCCGTCAGCATCAAAAAGTCAGAGTGCAGAATAACATTAGCAAGTAGCAGTATATAGACAGTAAGTATCGACAATAATTCAATAGAATACGGAATCATCGGATATTTTTTAATTATCAACAAAAAAAACTACAAGTTAGATGTAGTTTGGTCAATTTTATTCGGCCAATACGTTTTCACGGATGCATCGATACAGGCAAAATATCATTGTAGTATTTTTCGCGACCATCTCGGAGGAGTCAGACAGTCTCGCGAGAGGGAAAGATTGTTCAGAATGTCGATTTCTACGACGTGTTTGAAAATCACCAAGATCCGCGCTAAGGACGTACAACCAACCTTGCAATATAATAATTACCGAACACGGATAGCTGTCTCACAGGGGAATGATTCTGTCGCGAATTTCTCATTGCTTATTTCCAACGAACTTGGACGAATGGCCATGCCTGCCGTGCGGCGAGCGTAATGCGTCATTATCATTAAAACTCGCCCCGTTTATTTATAGATGACGATTAAGATGACATTGTTTCCGTCACATCGTTTCGCTCGCGAGGCGTGGCCCATTGTGCTTCGACAATTATAACCGTACCATTTATTCCACGAATGGAGCCTCTAACTGTTTCTTTCATTTGGCGAAAGGGGGAGGGAGGGAGGGAAGTAGGGAGGTAGGGAAGGAGGAAGGGGGCGGCGAAGAATTGATAATTAATTTTACACAAACCGTGCGCGTATTGTGGCCCGAGTAACAAGCAACCACTTCATTCAATCTTAACACATTCGTTAAGACCTACATCTTGACGAGGCAGGTCCGTAGAAACCGATCCCGCGTTCAACGAAGCAAGGAACGCGTCTCGCCGGTATCGCGTCGTTAGCTGCCCTCTTGCACCTAGACGCGAAAATTTCACAATAATAGTGGCCTGAACTTTTAAAACGAAAGGAACGTGAACAACGTTTGCCACGTTGCTGCTATACAAGTCGCACTTCCTTTTAACACGTTGCTCCTTAGACCAGCCGCTTTAAGCGTTGACGAGAGAGAAAGAGAGGGGGGGAGGGTAAGAAAGAACCGAGAAACCAATTAAAAACCTGCAGCTTCGAACCTGGCCATCGATTTCCCCCCGCGGTTAACGAACACGTTACAACGCATTTGTCAGGCGGTGCACGACGATTCACGAGTATTGATACGTCGTAATAAAGCATTGATCGGCAATTATCGGGGATTGCGTTTCAATCTTTAGACAAGGATGAACCCGTGACCCTCGCGTGTCACGAACGTTGAAGTAAATTAATAGGCGTATCGTCGTCCCACCGTGAAACGAGCACTTAACGTGCCACTTACGGCTATCACTTAACAGAGAGCCACTCAAGATCGTGTTACTGAAAATTGACGCGCGACTTTCCTACGTATCCACGTGCAAACTCCATTGTGTTGCCAGTTTTCGCCCGTTTTTGGAGGGGAAACCGAGGAGCTCTCGTCGGCTGACCCAGCTTCACGCCTCGTGAAATCACTTTCTAGACTTATGTACAAACAAATGGACACGTTGCTTGACCAGCTGCGACGTGATATAACAGAGCAAACAGAACCAAGAGGAGGAGATCGAACAGCGATCCTTCGAGAACAGCAAAAAGTTGTTGGCTGCTTTTTTCGAGAGATTAGCGTCAGATACGTTAGATGAGTCGGGAAGAAAGAATAAGGTAAAGAAAGAAGGGTAGTAATGGGGTGAGTGCACTGTGGGAATTGAATATTTTTGTCAGAATAATCCCCAACGTTATGAATAATTAGTGGTATAATGAGTTGAGTGTTGGGCAGACCTGCAATGTCTCACCAAAACACAAAGAACGTCGACAAAACGTAAAAATGGCCGCACTCCGGCAAACTGTTCTCAACCAGTACGGACTAACCCGCCTGATTCATTCGCTTGAAAATCCTTTCCTGTTAATTATACAGTCGCCAACTTTCGAACTGCTTGCTTACGGATCGTCAGAGAAGAAGCTTATAAAAATTATTTACGTTGATTAATCGTATAAAGAACATTTAACCGTCGATTAAACGATCTTAAATCTTCCTAGACTGATTTATGTTTCTCCGCAAGAGGTCAGAAATTATACACGGAAATTATTTAAAACGTTAACGTTGTAAGTCGTTCGAGCGTATTTGTAAAAATGTTATAGCAATAATATAACACGATACTTCAAGCAGCGCGTAGATTTTATCCGTATAACGAATTTTTGAGAACAATTTTCGGGTGTCGGGTTCCCGGTGCAGCACAAAGGATCTGCCCTTCCATTCAAACGTCACTCTAGCACCTCGTCTTACAGTACAGCATTTATTTGGCGCACTTCATTCGTTCCTTTTTGTCTTAAATCTTGGGCAGACTTAAAGACGAGAGTACAGACCAGCCAACCGCTCGATTTGTTCCCGATAATAATTATATCGATCGCCGTGAGATCGATTACGCGTCGTGACGTTGACAATTTCGCAGGATCTGTCACGTGGAACAACCCTCCGAGTCCGCTTGGCTCGCTCGCCGATTAAGAATCCTTTGTCCCTCGAGTATAATGGATTCTCGAGCACGAGAATTCGAGCCAACAAGGCTGGCACGTTGTTTGTCCACTTTGTGAAAATCAAAAATTTCTAGACTGATCCAGGCTGATCAACGAATATCAACGAAGCGGAACGAGAAAGATCTTTGAACGAAAGTTATTGCTCGAGCGTACGAGTAGTTTCCCCCTCCCCCCACGTACAGTATATAAATATTATAAAATTCATAATATTATATTTCGGTAAGTTAGGTTCACAAAACATACGCGATAATACGAGGAAATGAATGTTGGAGGATGGTAGGTAAATGCCGGATGATCGATTCACTTGGCATCGCGTTAATCGATGGTAGAAAGGGGAAGAGGGTCGGAATGCAGGAACTGTGCGGATCGTATTGTCTAAAAATTCCGAGATTCGCGCCGGTTCGTGTCGAGGCTTTGCCTTTCCAGCGGCTTGTACAGCAGTTCGTCTCTCCTCTCGCTCCGCTTTTTTCGGTTCGTTTGAAGTTGGCAATCAACTAGATTGCCTATCAACGCCTGAGAAGTCTCCTTGCACACTCCCGTCGGTCCACTCCTTTTCTTGCTCCCACAGTCTCTCTCTCTCTCTCTCTTGCTCACTCCTTCTCCCTTACTTTCTCTATTACACCCTCACACATGGCCACGCGACAACGTTGTTCTTCGTTTATTCCCTCTGTGCTTGCGCGCTCGTTTCCTCCCGCAGCGATCTTGCGCGCTTTCGGTGCGGCGCGGCGCCTCGATTCTTCCTTCCCTCGCTTTCTTCCCCTTTTTACCTCTTTCTCCAACTTTCTTTCGGCTTCCTCCTTTTTATCCCTGCCCCATGTCCTTTCTCTCACGCTTGATATCGTCCTGGTAACACATCTCCGCGAACGATTCCGCAAAACGTGCCGCAATCGGTCCTCCATTGTTCCCGCGTACCCCTTTCATCCGAGGGATTGGCAGAGTGTACGAGTTCTTACACCGTTGCTGTTCCAAGGATTCCAAGGTTCTAATCGTTGACCATTATTTTCCAGAAACTAAGAGGGATTCGAACACGAATGGGAACTTCTCGATGAAAAATCTTAGAAAGTAGTCTTTTTTAATTACCTTCCATGTCAACGATAGTGTTCGATCCA